ATGGTCTATTAAATTTCGGAAAGTTGGATTTTTGTGTAAAAGTTGGACAACACTTCATATTTGAATATTTTGACACTCGCATTATAGCGTTTATTTCTGCATCTTTAAAAGAAAAGTAAATTGTAGTAGGTTGTAATATTTTCGTATTTTACAGTGAGATTGTCGGGCAATGTACGTCAGTATTTGTTATATGTCTTCACCAGATATAATTCATAATTTGTTGACTTTATATAGATTTTGCTATCATTTTTAAGTCTTTTTTGGTCATATAGCTCTTCAACGGTTTCGATTCTTATGCATCATTGGCTCATCTCAATTGGAAAAGATAATAACCGAAAACTGCAAAATTTCCTTAAAATCATCAATTCAGGGACAATAACCTAAAAATCAGATACCCGATTCGGCTGATAATTTCAGGGCAGGTAGACCTTGACCTAATGAATACTTTAACTTCTTGTCTGATTTGCTCTAAATGCTTTAGTTTTTGAGATATGTCAAAAACTGCATTTCACCCTATGTTCTATTTTTAGCCATGGCGGCCATGTTTTCTGAGGAAACAGAAAATAAAACACAAACTTTATTCTAGATAACCTAAGAATCATTTTGGTTTAATTTGGTTCAGTAGTTTCAGAGGAGAAGATTTTTTAAAGTTAAAAAACATGATAAACTAATTGTGTAAAATTGTCCTTAAAGGGCAATAACTCCTTAAGGGGTCAATTGGCAATTTTGGTCATATAAACTTATTTGTAGATCTTACTTTGCTGAACAGTTTTGCTGTTCTTTATTTATAATAATATTCAAGATAATAACCAAAAACTGCAAAATTTCCTTATAATTATCAATTTTATATTTATACTACCAATGGGTTGTTAGATTCATCTGAAAATTTCAGGGCTGATAGAACTTGACCTTATGAACATTTTTACCCCATGTCAGATTTGCTCTTAATGCTTTAGTCTTTAAAATATAACAAAAAAACTGCATTTTACCCCTATGTTCTATTTTAAGCCATGACGGCCATGTTTTTTGACGAAACAGAAAATAAAACACAAACTTTATTCTAGATACCCTAAGGATCATTCAGCTTAAGTTTGGTTGGAATTTGTTCAGTAGTTTCAGAGAAGAAGATGTTTGAAATAGTTTACACCGGACGGACGACGCCGTCCGACACCGGACGACGACGGACGCCAAGTGATGGCAAAAGCTCACCGTTCCGAATTCGGAACGGTGAGCTAAAATTGATATTGTTTGAGAGTTATATGATGGTCTGGATGGTGGTCCTCCATTTCTGTATTCTTTAATTTTCAAGCCATCTCTCTCTGTTCTTTATTTCATTTGCCCATTATTCTCTTTTCTTTATATTTCAGCTACCCATTAGTCTCTATTCTTTATTTTTTGGGCCTATTTTTCTCTATTCTTTGTTTTTATTGGGCCTTTATTCTGCACTTTTTCACATTATTCTTAAGTTTTTAAACCCAAACCAGACCCTCCTATATTCAAAGTTTACCTAGTTTCAGAAGTTAAACGGTTTGCAATGATGGAAATCAACAGAAAGTTTTTGTGATTTGATTATTTCCCATTCATTTCATAGAAAATGTACCCTTTGGGACTTCTTCTTATGTCACTTCGTGTCTTTTGACAGCATTTTGTAAATATATTGAATAATAAAACTCGAAAACAATAAAGACCAAATGTAATTTTTACTTGGAACAGGTAAACTAAACAAAGAGCAATAAATCTGCAGCACTTTTGAAATTGGACGAAACTGAAAGGTATTGCCGAAACAAAATCCACGAGCAGAGATAATTTAATGGCGATCCTTTTGAAGAAAAGGATTTTTTGGTCATTTTAAAATTCCCTTTGTATGCAAATTTGAGACAACGTATGATAAATGAAGCTTTAATTATTATTTTGATTTATATTCTGATACAGTGTATTGAGATATTTCATATTTTTATTCAGTAATGAGAAATTTGCTACTTGATGTGCCCAAAACTGCTACATATTTTATTAAGGAGAAGCAGTATTTTATTTCCCTAGCTTTTTAATTTGCAAAGCAATTTACTAACTAATTGGTGAAGATAAGCAGTATATATCATATTTTAAAAGTCTTTTTATAAATCTTTTTAGATTGGTGCATATTTGCATATTTGTAGATTGTTGTATTTGCCTTGATTGTTATTTGTGAATCTTAATACATGTTTGTGCGTGTTGAGACCATAATAAAAAATCAACCTTAAATCTTGCATAATACAAAAAATACGTTTAAGGTAATCGAGAATTTAATTTCGATCTAAGATTAGGCGAATAGCTACGAACTGAAGGAAACACCTGATTTTTAATCTGCCAGAATCCGATTTTCCTAATAGGGAGAATTAGCATCACATAGTGTTATGTGATTGTAGAAAGTTGGTCAGTTTGTAAGCTAAGATAAAAAGAATTATACAAACTGAATCAATAAGACGCTTTGTAATATGACAGACGTTACCTGTCTTTAAAGGTTATTAAGGATGTATGACATGTGTAAAATATTCATCTGGTATTAGCAGACATGCAAAGATAAGTGAAAATAGTCTTTTTTCTTTCATGCCAGTAAGAAGTTACGATTTTATTTCGTTTCAGCATGCGTTTTTTTTCTCTCATAGAAATTAGAGATTTCCTGATTACCTTAAACAAAAGAAGCTTTTGACAATATTTATTGAATAATACCACAACGTTCTTTCCAAGGAGTTATTGTAGATTACCTGCAAAAATATAAATATAAGAAGATGTGGCATGATAGCCCATGAGACAAATATCCACCAGAGTCTAAATGACGTGGCTGAAGCAGCTATAAGTCGCCGTACGGCCTTCAACGACGAGCAAAACATATACAGTGGCCAGCTACAAAAAGCACAGACAAAATGTGAAAGAATTCAAATGAGAAAAACCAACAGTTAATGAAAAACAAATATGACAGACAGCAACCAACGACAACCACTGAGTTACATGCTCCTGACTTTGGACAGGCACATACAGAGTTTGGCGGGTGTAAAAATGTATGTTTGTGTAACCCATCATTTACTCTTATAAATAATAAAATTGAATTTAATTGTTCATGCTAGTTCATTGCTAGTTTTTGGAGCCATAATCAGATTTGTTTTTCTTTTCGCGGAAATGTATTTTTTTTCCAGTGCATTCAAATTAATGCAAAACTTGATAAGACAAGATTTAAAATCAATTTTCAGTTTCGCTTCAAATTTTCATCTACTTAAGAGTTTTTTTTTTAACAAAAAAGCAATATGCATGCACTGATATGATCCAAAAAGACCGAATATTTGTATAAGACCTTGAAAATACAAAAGAAGCACGGCTAAAAGAACCGTATACATTGTTGTCAATATAATGGAATTCTATTCGAATGTCATACAAGTGAGAGGTTTAGCCAGCTATAAAACCAGGTTTAATCCACCATTTTCTACATAAGGAAATGCATGTACCAAGTCAGGAATATGATAGTTGTTTTCCATTCGTTTGATATGTCTGAGCTTTTGATTTTGCCATATGATAAAGGACATTCTGTTTTGACTTTTCTTTTGAGTTCGGTATTTTTGTTATTTTACATTTTTTTCAAGAAGATTCGAATTATTTCTGGGAATTAACCAAACGGTGCCATGCTTTATAGTTTTTGAGTGCAACTAATATCTGAAGCTTTATAGAAGAGCATATTTTCGCGTTCACTATATTTAAACTGGTCTTATGTCAGAATATCATGCTTAAGGGTATTAAGCTATAAGAAGATTAAGGTATGCCAGGGACAATTTTATCGAACCTTTCTTATAAGGTATAAAAACAGAGAATTTTATTGATGTCAATGTTGGGTTACATTATATAAGTCTCTCATATTATTTGAAAAGTACATATTTCGAGTGTATACAATTAACGCGTCTTATACATCGTGTCTGCATGGAAGTATACTTTTATGAAAAATTAACCGATCCGAACTGAGTCCTGGGAAATCTGATAAGATCCGAATTCTTAAATGTAAACAGGGAAAAAAAGACACAAAACATAGGGAAAAAAGAAAAAGTGTTTTCCTTCTCTTGAAGTAACCGACATATACGGTATTGATAGTGGAAACGTTGCGAATGTGATCAATTATTCAGAACCCATATCTCCTCAGGGACCTGCCTATCGTTACATTGGCTTAATGTATATTTCATGACCAGCTAACCTTCACGTAAGAAAATGATCCAGTTCATTGCAAAATCTTCATACGTATATATACATGGGTTGGAAATAAGGTAGTGCATTTTCTGTTAAAACCCATATATTTGTTTGATATAGATAAAACAATATCAAATCTCCGTAGTCGATTTGGACTTTGGGATGATACTATATCTACACTCTGTATAACGTTATTAAAATCAGCAGACTTCATAATAAAATAACCGTCTTTTCTTATGTAAAACAGATGTTATGCAATCTTTTCTATAATACAAAGTCTTTTTAAATCCTTTTAAGGTTTTCTTTATATGAAACTAAAAATTGCTTATTCGGCGGGACTGATATAGTTTCGAGGTAAATTCGAACGTAATTATTTACAATGACTGGTCAAATGGCGGTATCAAATCATTTGGAAGGGAGAGATTGATTGTTTGTTGCTTAACGTCCAGTGGCAAATATTTCATCCATGTTCCGGGCGATAATCGGGAGAGAAATTAAGGTCAATTGGATAATAATTCGTAAATATGCAATTCTTGTATATATATTGTAATCTAGAGAACTCCGAGTCCACGAAAAAGTCAAAACACGAAAATGTTTTAAAAACTTGCATTGTATAAAAACTTAATGAAGGATGATATATATAAAAAAGAATAAAAGCAGTTTAAATTAAAAAAAAAAAACAACAAACTAATAAGAAGACAAAAAGATCCATAAAGACAGTATATGTAAATATAATTGTCACAACAGATAAGTAACCCAAATAAGTCAGCTATAAAATCACAAAAGAAACTCACCTGAAGAAATCATCTTTGCAGTACACCATATCTCCTTTTGAAAAACATTTGTCACTTAGCTGTAGTTTACAGTCAGAACATTTTAAACATTTAGAATGCCAAGAACGTTCCAAAACTTTTAAAATAAATCTGTCTAATATAGGTTCTCCACATCCGGCACATTTTGGAATTGCAGCTGAAATAAAAGCAAATAGAATTAAGAATAAGGAATCTATCTAAGACCAACAATACAAGAATAAAGATTGACATCAGAATAATGTACAACACAGATATTCGTAATGCACTATCTGATTTTTTCGCTTTATTTACTCACTTGAAAATTTATAAATCGTAAATTTTATTTTCTAGCACTGTGTGGGTACCTCTGCTGGTGGACTGTTTGTCCCTAATGATATCATCAGACCAGTGCAGGTTTCCAAATTTTTGGATCTGAGCGTTCCTAATGAAGGTAAATCCAGAAAAGCATTTCGGATGCATCATATTTATAAATCGTTAATTTATTTTGAATTTGCGAATCACGTGTTTATAAAACAAAAGATTTTCAAGAATAAAGTGGGTAAGGTAAAAATAGGCAAAACCATAATTCCATTTCCATTAAACCTAAAATACATTTCACATTGCAGATGTAATATTGAAAACTTTGTTGTTTGTCATATACCATTCGAACAACGATGTTTTTGTAAATTATACATATCTTGAAATTAAAACAAAATGATTAAAAAAACTTTTAAAATTTATATGACAGACGTTATTATAAAAGCCCCTTATACATTACAAAAAGTTTGATTTGTTGACATCAATTTTCTGTTTCGATTCTAAGATTGGTGGGAGAGGAGACAACTTTCCATGTATGCGGAAAATAGATATAAAAAATTTCTGGTAATACACGTATTTCAAAAATAAGATCTTACATACTATATGAATGCCAACAATAATAAATTTAATAAGAGGTTATTGCTGGCAGTCTTTGGTTTGTTGGAGATTTTCTCATTAAAATGCCTACATGAAAATGCCATATTTTTGAGAAAATAAAAAACCCACAAGATCGAAATACAACTAAAAACAGCCTTAGTATCATGATAAAATCGAAAATAGAATGCCATACACTGTTTCGATTCTAGCATAACAAATTTTCAAATAACCTAGAATCATTTGAGACAAAAATAAGTTCCAAGTAATTGAGGGTGCCTGTGTGGCCGAGTGGTCTAAGAAGTTCAAAAACTGTACCACTATCCTGTCAACACTGAGGTTGTGAGGACTGTCAGTCTTCCTGCCAAATGTTAGTGATTCTCTCCGGGCACTTCGGTTTTCTCTACCAATGAAAACTGACCGCCATAAAATAAACAACAGTGACAAAAGTGGCGTAAAACGCCAAAACGCCAAATAATCAATCAATCAATCAATCAATAAAAGTAATTGATCAAGTTATTATGAAAAGTGCATGAAATTGACTTTCTCACCACACACTTTATAATTAAGTTGAAACTGATTTGAAATCTTTCAGGAATCAGACTGTTATAAAATTTTCTGATTTTCTTCATGTTCAGTAACATGAAAATAAACCAAAAAACAAACTATTTGTAATTTTAGGTGTTGTCGGACTCCGTAACTTTTCCTTGTTTGAAAAAAGAGAATTTAGTAAGAAAAAAAATTATGATTATTTTGTGGACATGAATGGATTTTTAATAAACTGATAGATCAATTTGAATAACGTATTCGGCATATTTAGCTTTAATAATTTTTTTTTAATAAAATCTATTTTTGCTGTGTTTTCTCTTGTGGATAATTTCTGTTTGATTCATTCGCATTTTAAAATTTCGCAAAAAGGTTCATATAAAACTATCTTATTAATTAAATGAATAAACAAATAGATGAATAAATAAAAAGTCGTCAACCTAGACTGTGGCATATGTATCATGACATTTAACCGACATTTAGAAGAAAATGCATTAAAATAATGAAATAATTAAATTTCAATATTTCCCAGCATGCTTGATACATCAAAGTGGATATAACAGGTTAGCAAGTTTATTCAAATTTTGGTAACATAAAATATGATATCATATTTTTCATGAATCATTGACCAATATTGGATACAAAAATTATTGGGTCTGAGATATTGACATTAATAAAATATACATTAATTAAAGAGAAGCTATAATTTTGTTAGATAATTGTCGACAATTCGATGAAACCAGTAATAAGACGGTGGCCTCGGGGTTCTAATTGTGAAATCGACACCACACGGAATCTCTTGGAAAAGCTTTGTCAACGCTGTGCACCATCTGTTGAAGAAAAACGTAGAAATATGAAAACAGACATTAAGACTGCTGTTTTAAACGGTCCATGCTGCGTCGTGTTGGGTAAAATACATGTTTCAGAAAATGCTATGAATAATATCCGCTTGTTTAACTTAAGGAAACATCGATAATTTATTCATAGATAGGGTTTGTTATGAAATATGTATCCAGATTGTGCTGGTTAAGGTTTATTGAATATGAAGAATACCGCCTCTTCAATTCTACAAATATCAAGACACCTCATTTGCATTATGTTTTGTTTCAAGATTCGCTCTGTGATTGGTCAATCGCACTGCGACTTCATTAGATTCTAAATTATGGACGTAGAAAATTAGCTCATCTCTTAATTTTGGTTTTACAAGGAACAGTTAAAGCATGCGATTTTATTTTATTTTAGTTGATATTTCTGTCTAGAATAATAGAAATGACAAGCATTTGTAAATTATCCGGTATAAACGGTACAAACATTTAAATATTTTTGGTTTGGTTCTCATATAAAACAAGTACATTAAATGTCTTCTTTTGGCCTATTGTAAGTTTTAACAGAAGTATATATATGAAGGTTCCTTCTGGAAACATCTGTATGAAAAGATATAAAGAGTTAACGTTTGCAGAGCACAACTGCCTTACTGTATGTATCATTTTACTAATAAGGATAGTCCGCATAAAAAGTATCTTTTATATCACTTTAATAATCGCCTTGAGAGGTATTAAATTGGCTTGATCTCATCTATGATCAAGATTAGCGCTATTAAAGAACAAATAAAATAATTTCATGCCATATTTTTGCGCATAAGGACGATACTATATTACCCTACTGGACAATAATTCGGGGTCAATTTCGCACGACCTTTGTTCATCGATTTTCGATCGTTATAATGACCAGTTGTAGGTTTTGAGTGACGTGGTCACTTCTGGGATAAGATGAAACTGACCCGTGCTGGCACTTGAGGATTAATAAAAGTTGGAGTGTTGACCCCGACTTCTGAAGTGCAATTTATCACTTGAAGATGAGCGGAGTGATCAACGCCTTTTGTTACAGGGAAGCACCTGTTATATGTTATTCTACCCCGAGGACGGTACATCACCTGGCTAGAGACAAACTGTCGACAATAGAATTATACCCAGCGGTTACAAATTGTGAGAAATATTACAATAACATGTATTATCGCTACAATAATAAACAATAAATAGAGATATTATATTACTGTTTCAGAATTTTACTTAAACAAACTGCATGACGTCATACTTTTTTGAATTATATGATTTTAGATAATAAATCTCAAGTAAAAAATGTCATCAACTGATTTGACTATATAAAAACAAGGATTTGTGGTAAGGATGCCAATGACACAACTATCCACCAGAGTCCAAATGTCATGTATAAGACAAATGAACAATGACTGTAGATTAAGACATTTTGTAAACTTGGTTTTTCACTTTTTTTTTAAATTGACAGTCAATGGGGAAGTTACATGATACTCTGTACAATAATGATGGTCGTTTGATAGTTTTTACTTATTAACTTACTAAGACGACTATTTTCTTTAATCCAATGTAAATCTACTAATGACTGGTATACAATCCTTTTCTATATAAAATATGTACGGCTCAAATTGAAGGAGATTTTTAAAAATTATATCACTCTGCTCTAAATTTTTGGTTAAGTTGTCACAGTGCCTTTGATGATTATATCTTCGATAGAAGTTGGGTGTTTTTTAACTGATATACATGTTACGAAAAATCAAAACAATTGTTTTTGTTAAGCTATACGAATCCGATGAACCATCACTATCGTTAATCTATTACCACCCAGACAACTTTCAGAAACAATTCAATTAGGAAAAAATCCCTTATTCCAAAGTAGTGAAATTCAAGTCTTTTCAAAATTAGTATGCTCGACTTATTTCATAAACTGTTTTGCAATGTCATAGAAATTAGCTGCTTACTTTCTTTATGGGATCTCTCGATGCAAATCGTAAAATTGTGCTTGTCATTTGTGCATTATATACAAACAAAGTGGAAACTATTAGTGAAAGTTATTTCCAACCGTTATCTTTCCCATCGGAATTCCTCTTGTCATTTTATATTTTACTTTCGGAAGCCTGAATATTCAGGCACGTGCTAAACACGTGCCTGGCCAATGTAAATTTTACAGCTATCCGTATCTACGTTAGTACGGTTTCCTGTCTCATGTGACCGACGCTGTTCAGCTTTGAATGGCACGTGATGCACATCTGGGCAATTTTCAAAACGTCTGACTAAAACATTGCTTAGAAATACTAAAACATTGAAAGTGATTCTATTTCAATTTTTAAGGTTGTTTAAACATTAAACTGTCTGATTAAGCTTAGTGTGAAAATAAGTTTCCGCATCGAATGTTCACGTTATGATTTATACAAGTTTAAAGTTCGTCTTGTATATTTTTCAAGAAGAATTTTAGTCTTCAAACTTTTGATAATATCTTAAATGGCACAATAAGACATCAGTTAGAACAGTTAGTTGAAAATTAGAATTTTATTTTTGAACTATAAGTCAAATCTTATAATAACGAAACCACACACAAATAAGCGTAACACATGTGCAGCTGATTATTTTGATCATTTAAAGCAATGACCATTCAAAATACACGTATATAATAAGCATGAAGCTGACCAGTGAATATACTATTTTAGTTTTCAACAAGTATTTGCATGATTTTAGTTTTAGAGTTGGGATTTAATAAAACAATAAATATGTTGAAGTCCCTGAAGCCATTGTCCAAACAGAAAAAAATCACTATTTACTTTATATAACGTATTAAATTTACATTTTAACGAAACATTTCACGGCTGATGGCTTCCGTGATAAAATAACAAAGCTTAGAACCGTTACT